TACCTTTTGGACAGCAGTGGATGAAGTCTGCACAACAAACAGCCTGAGGATAAAAAGATGTGAAAGATAATAAATCATCAACGTCAGCAGACTGCTGGCTATTGAAAGGTCAGAGAGCAACGTCAATCGTGAGTGTTTCCTTCATAAGAACCATCCCACCGTTGTTTGTTGGCTGATAGAATTCAGAGCAAGGTTGACCAAAGACAGAAATTCAATCCAATTAAATTTCAATTCAGTTCATTTATATAGCGCCAAATCACAACAAAGTTGTCTCAGGGCACTTTACAGGAACATTTACGTACATAAAAGCCAATTAGTAAAGTTCTCTATCTAAGGAATCCAGCAGACAAGTTGAATCTTGGCTTTGTTACAGTCTCCCAATTTGACGATTTATTGTCTCCGACCAGCAAATGGACGGGGGGCTTAAATTGGCAACAGCCTTTTTGGAAACCATGGCTGAGAACGGCGAGTGTTTAGTGACTTCGATTCTCCTCTTTACCAGTTAGTGGTAAGCTCAGTTTGAACATGAATATGTTGAAGGTAACGCCATTGTAGAGCAGCCTTGCTATTACGATCTTGCTCACATTGAGGAAGTACTAATTTAAAACCACCTGGACAGTGCAGAGCCGAGTAGAGATTTTGCGAGTCATGTTGAGATTGGACGATAAAAAAATTAAAAAAAAGACATCATAGATACAATTAATCCCAGATAAAAGATTTTCAAGAAGTTGCATTTTTTCTTACCTCTGGAAAAGGACAACAACCCCAGCCACCCTGTAGGGTTTTACAACATGTAGTACCATCAGGACAGCCCGTGGTGCCATCACATGGGACGATGTTCACCTGGAGTTCAACATCTTTTCTGGGAACTGAGGGAACCTTCTTGACCAAGGGAGCAGACAGGAGTCCACCATCACATGTCTGAGCAGCCAGGTTACATGTTCTACCTTTTGGACAGCAGTGGATGAAGTCTGCACAACAAACAGCCTGAGGATAAAAATAAAGGTGGAAAATCATCCACATCTAATAGATACCATTTATCCCAGAATTTTCCACTTTTTGATAAAATTCTCTAAAAGAATTTGTATTTGTTTTGTTACCTGTGGAAAAGGACAACAACCCCAGCCACCTTGTTGGGTTTTACAGCAGGTGGTGCCATCAGGACAGCCCACGGTGCTATCACATGGGACAATCGTCCCCTGGAGTTCAACATCTTTTCTGGGGATTGTAGGTCCCTTCTCAACCCAAGGAACAGAACCCAAGTTGTCATCGCAAGTCCTTCTAGCCCTGTTGCACTTTGTACCTTTCGGACAGCAGTGCTTGAAGTCTTTACAGCATACAGCCTAGAAAGAGTAGGAAATGTGGAAAAGGCTTTTCTTATTTAGAAAAAAGTATTTCATTAATACGATGAAGGGGAAACTTTAAGGACAAATTGTACCTCTTTTAAATGACAGCAGCCCCAATCCCCTTTTTTGTTCTTACAGCACGTAGAGTTTTCAGGACAGGCTGCCGTTTCGTTACACGGGACTTCAATACCTGGAGAAAGAACGAAATGAAAATGATACCAGAATAAAGACCGTCGCTTGGTTCTTTTTTTACATAAAATGTCTGACTGATAAAACAAATATCCGTCACAGTTTCAAGCTGTTTGTTAACTCAGCTACTTGATAAAATGCCAGGGCTACAGTTTGTATCATGTTTTAATCAGAGGAAAATGTCGTCAGTATGTTTCACATCTGTTTTGCAATCAAACTTCTGCATAACAACAAAGTCCATGCTCAATAATCCAGGTATACAATCCAACATTTTTCAGTCGGGTCAGGCCTTGACTGATGTTTCCTTGACTGATGAATCCTTCCGGAATGAAGGCGAAACGTTTCAGCACAAAAAAAAAAGAAACTGTCCAGATGACCTGACTGAAAAATGTTGGAAACTTCTGCATACTTTTTACTTCTTTAAACCATATGACCAAACATTCAGCTCAATCAACAGCGTTGGTAAGACTTTTGGTTGTTGCAACTTTCATACTCTTTAAAATATTTAACTTTTTTAAATATAAAATGCCTCACGAGAAATGCATGAAAGTTTCTACAATCTGTATGAAATCTGCTCCAGCGTAGTTGCTCTAATTTTTTATGCTTCTTTTAGTTTTAAGCCAATGTGCTGATACCTTTAGCTACCATTCTGCTATTGAACTTTTAGTTAATGCAATACGACTTTTAGATTGTAGCTACCATTTTTTTGCTTTTAGCCACCATTTTGCCAATTTTACCATACCATACCATTTTATTTATAGAGCACTTAAAACAGCGACAATGCCAACCAAAGTGCTGTACAGACAGAAAAAACAGGCAACACACAAAATGAAGTTAAATCAGAATAAAAACGGTTAACTACGGTTTTGCTGATTTTAGCCGTACCATCTGATTTGCTCTTTTTTAAATACGATTTTGCTCGGGTTAGCATATGTACTGCTAATTTTAGCAGCTGTTTTGCTCATTCTAGCTTTAGCATGTGTTTTGTTACTTGTAGCTACTGTTTTGCCAATTTTTGCATTAGCATTTGTTTTGCTTCTTTGAGCTAATGTTTTACTAATTTTTACTTTAGCTGATATTTTGTTACTTTTGGCTATGGTTTTTGATAATTTCAGCCACTGTTTAGCTAATTTTAGTTTACAGATACTTTTTCTCTTTTCTGTTCTGTTACTTTTTGATTGTATCCACAGTTTTGTCACTTTTAAACTACCGTATTGCTGACGTTAGCTTTTGCATCTGAATTGCTCATTTTAGCTGCCATTTTGCTAATTTTAGATTTAGCATCTGTTTTGTTACTTTGAGCTTATGTTTAGCAAATTTTTTTGCTTTGGCTTATGTTTAACTAATTTTGGCTATGGTTTGAGATAATTTAGCTACCATTGTTTTGCTGATTTTAGCTGTTGCATTTGATTTTTCTACTTTTAGCCACAGTTTTGCTAGGTTTATCCTCTGTTTAGCAAATTTTAGCTGTAACATCTGTTTTGTTACTTACTGCTAGTTTTGCCAGTTTTAACCGTTTTGCTGACTTTAGTTCATAACATGTGGATTTTAGCTGCATGTTATCTTACAAACCAGTTCAAATTGTTCCAAACGTGAAAGGTTTTCATTATGATGGGAGTATTTTCTTCCAAGGTCGACCACGTTAACAAGACAAGAAATGTCACTGAAACGTCCGACCGTCTGAAACGAGTTTAACCTGTATGGTCATCAGTTCTCAGCTCGATTTCAGACTCTCAGAACTGACATTATTCCCCATCAAAACACTGATTTTTAGAAGGATCACACTTTATTCACTTCAGTGAAGATTAACAGCCAACGCACGCTGAACCCGTCGGAGGCGTACTGAGACAATAAACTGTTACTGATCAAACAAACTGTGATAACAGCTGTTTGTTAAATGAAGCCGTTCCCTGAAGAATATCACACCGACCGCCAACGGTAACTCAAGCTAAACTAACCAGACTGAACACTGATAAAAACCTTGTGGATTTTCAAAAGAGACAGTTTAGAAAGGATTTTATTATAGCCACACATGTTCTGGAACCAAAGTGACCATTGTTGATGCTAAACTTTGAAACAAATCTGGTTGGAATCTGAAGGTGCATCACGTTTCATCTTACTGAAACTAAACTGGACAGAACTGCTGGTTAGACGAAGAAAAGCTATTTTAACATCTACATTTGATGAAGAAACTATCATTTGGATTCATCGTGTAATTTTTCCTCTTTATTTTTCAGTCTGAAAACTTTCACGTCTGATTCAGAGCTCAGCTGCCCTAGCAACAGATGACACAGTCACTGTTTTCTCTAAAGGAGGAAGTGGATTGGCTGCGATCATTTCAGGAAAAATTCCTGCTACATTATCACCTGTCTTGGCATTCACCTTATCACCAACTGAACAAACAATTCCACCCAGGAAGCACGCTCAGGCTGACCTTGCAGGTTCTCCCAGTCCGCCCTCTGCCTGGCAGGAAACTTAGCCCACATCGGTAACTCCTTTTTGGTAGATGTGGAAATACACTTCATGTTTTTGGTGTCGCATGTCGTCCCTTCGGCGCAGCAGTGCTCCTTATCGTCGCAGCACACAGCCTGTTCACATGAAGTCATGTTAGGTAGCTCAGAACCACAAGATGTGGCATGATGGGACATGCAAATCCATCATTTGACCTCCCCCCAGCTGTGGTAACATCAACACATCTGTATGAAAACAACATGGTGTACCTTTGGCATTGGACAGCATCCCCACTTTCCTTCTGGAGTTTCACAGCAGCTCATACCTTCTGGACACTCAGACACGCCGTCATTGCACAAAACGGTAGTCTCAAATTCTTAAAACAAAAACCAGAATAGACAAAAGTTTAAAAACTCATATATTCACGTTACCTGAGCACAATATTGAAAAATATAAAAATTAAAAAACCAGGGAATTCCACCTTTTTTGATGCAGGAGCGGCTGTCGATGCTGCACCGGTGTCCCTCAGGGCAGCAGTGGTGTCCATCAGAGCAGGAGACTCCCTGTTTGGAAGTCAAAGAATTAAAAATCAACCTCGCCACAATTGTTACAGCCAGAATATGACACTGATGCAGATAAGCAGTTCACTGCTCCTCTACATCAAAAGGAGTCGGTTTAGGTGGTTTCAAAATCTGATTAAAATGCCTCCTGGACGCCTCCCTTTGGAGTTTTTCCAGGCATGTCCTCCTGAGAAAATTTCCTGAGGCAGACCTAGTCTTCACTGGAGGGATTATGTATCCTCTCTGGCCTGGGAATGCATTGGGATCCTCCAGGTGGTGCTGGAAAAAGTCTCTGGGGAGAGGGAGGTCTGGGCTTTCCTCCTGGACTTGTTGCCTCTGTGACTCGACTGAAGATGAGCGGTAGAAGGTGGAGATGGAAACTGAAGGTGGTATGAAGGTTTTAAAAGTAGCATTTGCATGAACAGCTGTGACATTTTTCATAATGGAGTATAAGATGGCAGGAATCCTCCTCTCTCTTGCCCACTGTTGGATAAAAACGGTTGGATCCGGCTCGAAGGACCAAAATGTTGGATAAAAATATCCTTGCTTTATCAACTTAAATAAAGGAGCTCACACACAAAGACATGAGAAGATTTTTAACAAAGTTTACTTGCAAAGGCAGCGTTCACACAGGCTTACACAGATGTTTCAAAGTTACGTGCTTAAAGCCCCGTCATGAGAATCTGCATTGGACAGTGTACAGGAAGTGCCTTTTATACACGCTCATCAGCACGATGACCTCGGCCTCTTAGACTCGGAGGCGTCAGGTGCCTGCAGGCTCCTCTCTGAGAGAGAAAAAGAACTCTCTGTCCTCACACACACGAGCCAACATTAATTTAACATTAGCAGCGATAAACATCCATAAACCTTTACCTAAATTCCCCTGACACCCACTTTCACATAAATCGTGACCGGTGGGTCCAATTTAAACTCCAGCGTGGATCTGATATACATTAATTTTGATTTTCACATGATTTTCTTCCTATAATCTAACCTAATCTTGCAACTTGCTGATTTGTTGTCGCATAGTTGTTTGATTTAAAAAGAAACCATAAAAACTAACTGTACAGTCTGAAGAAAGTGAGTTTAATTCTGACGATTGTACAGGAGGAGGTGAACTATGGAGTACAGCTGCTCCTTAAAACGACGCCAATCTTGAATAAGTCAGCAGTTCATGTTTTATAAACCCTTACACCATCATCAGCCTGGATTGAATAACATCTATGTCAGAAACAAGCGCAGATGAAATGGATGTTTTGCTCCATTTTAACAGTTCTTATAATCAGCAGATGCATTTACCGGAAGTTTCGCTACCTGTTCTAGGCAACTTTCGTTGATTAAAAAAGGAAGTGTGGATGAAGTCTATTGTCCAACCACTAACCGTCAGCAGAACTGAAGCTTTTATATTTTTTACCACAGACACCAGAGATTTGACCACTTTCTGCAGTACAGTACTGCAGGTTTATCTTCAGTGATGTGAAACTGCTTTGTCACAGGAAGTGAAAACGGTGAAAATGTTGAAGTTCACCAGAAAAAGAGCTGAAAGACGGCATTCTTTTTTCATCAAATCATTTAATCCCACCTGAACTGATGGATCATTGCTTAAATTAAAACAAACATTAAAAACAGAATAAAATAGGTCATAACTTGGAGTAAATGCATTTGTGTTAGGCACAGATATGCATAAGGTGATTTATTAACATTAAGGAACGTTACAATGATCCGAGACAATATCTGGTGTCTGATCCCTACACTTAATTTACAGCTTATCACTGCATTATAAATATCTACAACTAACATTATACCCTAAAAATTTGGTTTACAAATGCTTATTGTGTTTACAAGGTAGTAACTTAGTCTGAAATGTTTAATATAACAATTAAATATATAGGTGAACAGATTTGGCTCACTATTTGGTAAGAAACTGGCCAGTTTTGACCCCGTCACCCTTAATTAATGCATAATAAACAGTTATTAATGACTTATAAAGTGTTTATAGAGGCATTAATAATGCCTCTATAAACTATTTATTAGCCATCTATAAGGGGAGCCTTATTTTAAAGTGGTACCGAGAAAAGTTTTACAAATCATTGTTTTATTGTTGGGACTCAGTCAAGCCACAGTGAGTAAAAGATCTTGGTTTGGTGTTGAAGTTGTACATAGTGGACCAATAGGAAACAGAGTTGTGAATGGAAATAATGCACCTGAAGCAAAGAAGTGGTTTTGATAGATAATAAAAAACAAACAACAATAACAACGCTTGAAAAAGCTCCATCTGAGCTGGTTCACGTACCTTTGCAATGGGACAGCAGCCAAACTTGGTCGAAGCCTTCAGGCAGGAAAACTCCGGCGGGCACCGCGACTGGTCGGGACACGTGTTCTCAGAGTCCTCGTCCATGGAGGTCCTGATCATCTGGAAGGACTGCAGAGCAGCGGATAGGAACGTCACTCAGACGACTCAAAATGGGTTAAAAAAAAAAATAAAAATAAAAAAAAACGAAGGATGTTCATCATACTTTGGAGACCGAGGAGAGATCTGCAGAGGTCCTCTCCGCCCACGGGATGGACACCGTTGCATTCACACAGCTGGACGTGGCCGAGTTACAGGCCGTGTCTGCTGGACAGCAGTGGACGTGATCCTCACAGCACTCAGCCTGAGGAGACAGGAGCTGAACTTTAGCTGCTTCATTAAACAGCTAGGATCAATAGCACTATTCTAGAATGAGCAACTATTTAGAGCAGAAAAGGCAGAAATTATATTCAATAATTAACGTTTGATATGCACACATGTTACATTCGGGCAGGAATATTCAACTGGTGGCTCAGGGGTCACATCTGGCCCACGAATGAGTTATTTAAAATAAAACAAGATGTCAAGTTGTAAATTTAATTAATGCAACAATAATTGGTGGGTGTCCAGAGCCTGAGCAATTTAGTTTAAAAGCTTTGGATGAGGATAAAGTTATATGAAAACATTTTAATAAAAATACATTTGGCTACTCTGTACAATAATTTTCACTTAATTCATTTAAGTCAAGATAAAGTGGATGTAGCTTAATACAAATAAACATAAATAAATACATAAAATAAAGTAATAATCTGTATCCACAACAGAGCAAAGCTACTTTGTTAGCAGCTAATGCTAATTTTTTAAGCAGATTTTTTAGGGTTAACCTTAATATTAAGACTTAGTAACATATTTAATGTAGCAACATATACGTATACAGTGGTCCCTCGTTTATCGCTGTTGTTTGTGACCACGCCCACCTGCGATAAGTGAAAACCGCAACGTAGGGAGAAATTAGTTCAAGTTCAAGTTCAGTAAACTTTGTCATGACACGTGCCAGGCTGCAATCACACTCATCCCCCGTTACTCCCAATCTCCGTCTTTAAATAAACAAATTTAAATGCTGTACCATTTTAAATAAACGATCCATGCATGGATTATTTATTTAAAATGTTACAGCATTTAAATTTAAAATGTAGAGAAGTGCAGCAGGACATCAAAGGATGTCACACAGCTTCATCTCTGCAGCACGGAGCAGAAATGTACTTCTTGACCAGTTACACTGAAACAACTGAACATATACGTCCTAAAATAATTAAATATAACTTTTAACACTTTCATATTTTGTGGTTATGATGATTTTTACGACGTGACATACATTGAATTTTAAGTTGGAAGACAAAAGTCGATCGGTGCATCTGGACAGCAAAGGGTTAACCCTTCACGAGAAATGTGTGGGCGTGGCAGAGATCATGACAGGCTGCAGGAGGGAGCTTCCCCCTGCACTTGTGGGCTGCACACAGGTGCAAAATCATTTTAAATTATTTATTTTAGATAAACAGTCCATGGCTCATCCATCTGTCAGACAATTGTGTCATGTCCAGTCTTACTTTGAAAAACAGCGATATAGCGAATCCGCGAAGTACTACTGTAATAGAGTAATAAAAAGTTACTTTATAAAATTGTTGAGGAGAATTTTGTTTGAAGATTTAGGTGACGTTGTTGCTACTTCAAGCTAGCTTTAGCTAGATTTGGTTCAGTGTTAACTGTTAGTCTTATTTTAGCTGCATTTTAATTATACGCATTAAGGAACAAACAAATTCAGACAAAATGCCACTGACGACTGAATTTCATTCACTCAACATTTATTTATACAACTTAGTCTCATTGCGCCTCGAGGACTCGTTTACAATTTGAGAATTTGCAGCAATTTTGTTTTGCTCTTGTGCAACAATGTAAATAATCTCCTGCAGCGATAAAAATGATTAAATTATATAATTTTAGAGGGACTCCAGTTGTCCAAATATCTAAATTTAAACAAACTGCAACAAACATATTTTACAAATCAAAAAGGAAATGTGTAATTTGTGTAAAAATAATGCATCTGTTCTTAGCTCTTAGCGTGAGTTGGTCGACTGGATATTCCAGATTAGGAGCCAAAACTGAGTTGAGCCTTTCAAGTTTCTGTCACGAAAGACTAATTGTTGTTTAACGTACAAAAAAATCCCCAAAAATCAAAGAATGAGAACATTTTCTGACTGAACTGACATAAATTCACTCTCTAAACCTGATGAAATCGACTGAAACAGACAACACAAACAAGAACTCTTATTTTTTACAATCAAATCAGTTCGGCTGTCTTCCTGCAGTTTTGTTTTCATGAAGTTTAGCTTTTTAAAGGTTTTGTAGTTATGAAACAAGGCCACACAGAATGGTTATCATACACTGGGACTGAAGTGTTTAATTTTAAACTCAGTACAAAGAGGAAACATTGCTCTCTGCGCCTCGCCCACCTGATCGAAGGGGCAGCAGCCGAAGCCTCCGGCTGGGCTTCTGCAGCAGGTTTGACGCTGTTTACATCCGCCTCCATCTGGACACTCATCTGCACCCACCAGAGCCAGGAGGGCCCAACAGATCAGAACCCATCTCTGCATCTGCAGGGAAGAGCACACAAAACACAGAAGGGTGGGAAGCGAAAGTGAAACTTCAGCTCTTTAACTCTGGACCTTTTTTTCTTCTGGAGTTAAAGTGAAGCCACATTCCAAGGAAACAAAAAGGTTTTTGCTCAGAGCAAATAGACATGCAGCTTTTCTCGACCTGGCGGCTGTAAAATAAAACGAGGTGAACCAGTTTTCTACTGGGGAAAAGAACAACAAACAAACCAAATAAAAATAAAATACAGTCCATCTGAAACTTTCGGATTAATTCCTGTAATTCATGCACATCTTCTTATTTCTTTCCCAAACAGAATCAAAAACAGCAGATTAAATAAATGAACACTTCCAGTTAGAGTTTGCGTTTTTTAGGACCTTCTTTTCTAACATTTTATGAGCACAAAGCTAAAAAGATGTTTTCCTCTGCCTTACCTTTGCTGAAGAGTCGCGCGCTGCTGTGTGGACGGAAGCTGCGTTTCACCAAAAATAAGAGCTGCAGGATCCTGAGCACGCCCTGTATGGCAAGCCCTTGGCATATTTAATATCAAGTGACGAGCTCTGAATGTGCAGAGATGCATTTAATGGTCAATGTAACGTAAAGAATAACATTTCAAACGGAAAGTAAATACTTTTTTTTTTTATTAAATCTTGCAAACCCTGTTTATTATTCAAATTGTACAGTTTTGTTTGTAGCTCAAGTCAAAAGCTTCATTTGCAAAACTAAAACTTTTTCAAGCAGAAGTCTTCATGAACTTTTGGTGATGTCCATATCTGAATCCTTTGAATGACTCTATAAAAAGACGACAGGAACCAACAGAAGTCGTCTCAGGGCACCGAACAGAAACATTCACATACACATAAAAGCTCATTAATAAAAGTTTATTATCTAAGGAACGAAGCAGACGCGTTGAATCTTTGTTTTGTCACAGTCTCCCATGTTGAGCAAGCACGAAGGAGACAGTGGAAAGAAAAAACTCCCTTTGCACAGGAAGAAACCTCCAGCAGAACCAGGCTCAGGACGAGCGGCCACCTGCTTCAGCCGTCTGGGTTTGAGAAGAACAGGAAGTAGAAACAGGTCCAGGTGAACTTTCTATAGGAGGAAAGACAAAAACCATGTTCAGATGGAAAGAATTACAAACACAAACAGGTAGAGCAAGTAAAGAAGCAGCAGAGTGAGGAAATGTGGTCAGTTTGTCCTCCAGCAGTATAAGACTATAGCAGCAGAGCTAAAGGATCGCTCACCCAAGCCGACCCTAACTATAGGATTTATCAAAAAGGAAAGACTTAAGCCTAATCTTCAAGCTGCACTGACAGAACCTGGAAGTTGGTTCCACAAGAGAGGAGCCTGATAAATGAAAGCTCTTCCTCCCATTCTGCTTCTGGAAACTCTAGGAACCACAAGTAAACCTGCAGTCTGAGAGCGAAGACAGTGGTTCTTTTTGTTTTCAACCCAACATTTCACCTATCTAATCATAAATGCATCCTTTAGTTAGAATGAACATTGCAGATACAACCAAACTGTTTAATTTATGAAAAAGCATCTGAACTTGTTAAAAATGGCTGAAAGAGTCAGTTTCTGGACAATTAAAGTGAGCTTGTGAACATTTTGGGTTTAAAAACAAATGTTTTCCTTCATTTGGTGCACAGATAGTGTCATATGTAATATGTATGTAATATCATTTACTCAAATGAAGTTGAATTGTATTCTAAAATCTAAGCCAGCTGTGAGAACGTTGCCTTTCCTGATCCGGTCTTGTAGGTCTTCTCTGCATGAATGGCAGCAGATGTTTTTGGTCTGCTTCCCTTTTCTTTACGTCTGGGTTTGTAGAAACAAAGTTCTGGGGTTTTGCCGAATGCCCCTCTTGCAGCTCTTCCTCATTTTAGTTCTGTTTTTCTGTTCAGAGCGCTCAAAAGTCCAGAGTCATTCAGACAGAAGGGTTTTCTGCCACGTGTGGCCTGAGAACAGACGAGTGTTAGAAGTTAGAGAAACTATGGACCAGAGGAGTCACAATCAGTTACAAAAATTAAAAACTTGTCCACGCCAAGCGCCGATTTCAGTGGAAACATTAACTCCAGTCAGAAAGCTGACATCTTTTCTTGGTTGCAGGTTCATCAACAAGAGTTTGGTTGGTTTCGTTTGTTGCTCTCTCCACATCAAAAATTAAAGATTACTGAAAATTTTTTTACTTTTTTCTGGCTTCAACGTTAAACTGTCATGAGAGGCCTGCACTAAATGAAGCATTTAGTAATTTTTTTAAAGCAAAGTGAGAAACGATAAAAAGTATTTTACATTTAAAATATCTTAGGGGGCCAGATAAGATGTTAACAAGGGCCAAATTTGGCCCACGGGCCTTGACTTTGAAGCTTTCGACCTTGACCTCCCTAAGTGGCTTCAAACATCTGTTCCTGGGAAAAACCAATGCAGATACGTTCTTGTTTTTATTTTTATACACCGCCTTACAACCTAGCTGTTTTTATTTTTTCCTTTTAATTACCATTTTATTTTCACTTGTTAATAAAAAAAAAATCTCAATTTGTACACATCCTTTATGATTGTCTAATGTTGTCATCACTCTTTGTTAAAATCAGGTCTCTCTTGTAAATGAGTCCCCGAGGGTCAATTAACCCATTTAAATAAAGGTTGAATGAATGAAAAAAAGACTAAAACCTGAAAGTGGATATCATTTGGTCAAAAATATAATTAGTAATACAACAATTTTCAGTCAGGTCATCTGGACAGTTTCTTATTTTTTTTTCTGAAACGTTTCACCTTCCATCCAGAAGACTTCATCAGTCAAGGAAACACACAACACAAAACCGATTCTTCCCGCAAACAGCTTACTTCAAAGTGGAACAAACCAGTTATGTTGGTGCTAAGATGGTGTCTTTGGCACGCCCCCTCCTCCTGTGCCGGCCCTCTCCCTCATCGACAGTCATGTCAAACTGGTTCAAAACCGAAAAGGTCCATGCTCAGCCTAACCTGGATTATTGAGCATGGACCTTTTTGGTAATTAGTAATATTTTAATATAATCTTAGTTATTTTACTTAAACAGTAGGTAACGAGTTACTACATACAAAAAGTCTAAGTCATAAATGAATGATCCAACATCCATTTATTATTTTTTTTTTTTTATTTTGTTGCTAATTTGGAGGTTCAAATGAAGCAACAAGACTGACTTGGAGTCAATGATGAGAGACAGTTTGTGTCCACCAGAGGGCGCTGTCGGCCTGCAGCCATGAAGAGGCTCCTCCAGCTCCACAACCTGAGCTGTCACGTGACGTGACGTCACTGATACGGACTCTCATTCAGAAAAATGCTCGGACTCACAATAAATATATAAATAAATATATAAATAAATATATAAATTTAAAAAATATATATATGCTCGGACTCCTGAGTTTTAAAGAAAATCCGCTGAAAAAGGCATTTAACTCGAAATACCCGCTTTGATTTTTTTTTTTTTAACTCAAGACATTTACTTTTTAAGTACAGGTCAAATTAACTTTTATTGTTTGCATTTTATTAAAAAAGTTACCTTTCCTAACGCAATCCATTATGTTAAAAAGAATAAACATTAGTCAACTGAAAAAGGAAAAAAGGTAAACATTTATTTACAAAGAAACACTTTAAATTTGTATTAGATTATGTGTATTTCTGAGTATTGATGGTTTTACGCGCATTGGTTTGTTTTAGTCTCTTTTTTATTTACTCTTAAATGAAGAGAAGGAGGCCACCTTAACTTCATCTTGACGCGCACTCTGATGGGTGTCACGCGTGGACACGAGGAAGGCGTGGTCAGCAATGAAAGCAGAGCTCCAGCGTCCTTCATCAGTCTGTCTGCGGGAACCGGGGACGCGGCTGCGCGCCCGAGTGGACACGCCTGGATAAAGAGCGCACGGGTGCTGCGCGTCAAGTGGATCCTTCTTTTCAGTTCTCACTCCTCGACTCCTCCTCTCGGATGTTGGATGCGGTTGTCCCCCGCGTCAAGGACCCAGCACGTGTGACGGACTAACCCCACCATGGAGGCTGTGGGCAGCCGCTGCAAGATCGTGGTGGTCGGGGACACGCAGTGTGGGAAAACGGCGCTGCTGCACGTTTTTGCCAAGGACTGTTACCCAGAGGTGGGTTCATATGAAAACCTCTGAACTTTTCTCGTGTCACTGAGATGTGGGGACAAAACAGCTGAACTTTAGCTGGTTAGATGATCCACCTGCCTGGAGGAACTCAGCCCTGAAGAAGAATTGACTGCAGATAAATGTTCTTTTCATATATTAAGGTTATTCTGGTCTAACTCCAACACATCTTCTGTTTTCAGAACTACGCGCCCACAGTGTTTGAAAACTACACAGCCAGTTTTGAGATCGACAAACATCGGATTGAGCTGAATATGTGGGACACGTCAGGTGAGATACTTACTTCACTTTGTTGGTGCCTTTTGACAGGAAACCAGAGGAAAGCTCAACGGATGTGACTGAAGCCGAAACGCTCTTGTTTTGTCTCATCAGTTTTAGGAAATGTGAGGTTTGTCAACACATTTAGACAAATGATCCGTTTTTGTGTTTGTTATTATGATTCAAAATGCCACGGCTCTTGTGCGCAGACAGTGACGCACGTTGATCTTGGAGTTCATCTTGAATAGCTCTGGACTGTTTCTTTTCCACTCTGTCTGATCAACCCGGGGTCGCATTTTCTCTTGCATCCACGTCCAGGGAAGTTGGCTGCAGTCCCACAAACCTTATAGTTTTTACTACAGTTGGCAGCTGCAGCCAGAGGAAGATGTTAGCCCTGACCTTTAACCTGGATGTCTTTCTGAGGCCCTCATGGCTCTCTCCTTTGCTTTCTCTGCTGTTCGGCGAGGCGCTCACAGCCAAACCAAACCCGTTTGTTCACTTTAAAAAAGGCTGATTAAAAGCTTGAAGCCACCTGTGGTTCTAATTTAGGTCAATTACTTTGAATGCACGGATTAATAGTCACTTCAAGAATACCAACAAGTCTTGACATTTCTTTGCAAAATAAACACCAAACCCTTTGTGCCTCAATTAATTTGTGCACACTAAAGGCGCACAGCCATGCATTCAAATATTGATTGAACTGAATGAAAAATGAATCATTTCTCTGAGCTGTGAGGGCAGCAGCAGATTTATCTGCCTCTCTGGGCACCTTTAGGTGCTGGCATTAAATCAGAACCACGCTGCCCGTTCCAAAGTGTGACCGTGAGAGAGCTGCCTTCATTCCTCTCGTGCAACTTTTACACCCGTCATCCCTCTGACGAATAGCTCTGACCCGGCCACCTTCGCATGTTTCGTTTCCCCCCTTTAGTCTGGCATTTATGGCTGTTGTCTTTGGGGGTGGGCGTCTGTGCCAGCCGGGTTCTTGTGTTTGCATTCCTTCCAGTTCAGTCCACTGTGTGTGGCTGACTCTTCCCATGCTCTGGGTCAGGCGACTCTGCTGTGGGGGGGTTGAGGGCATGGATAATGCATACAGGATGAGCCTGGAGGGATCAGTAATTGCTCAAACTGTTTAAACGTTTTCGTCATTCCTCAGATGAAAGCAGGTTTGCAGCCGGGTTGGGTCAAATGTTTAACTGCCACATGCTTTCATCGCGCTGAACGTGAATTCTTGTACGTTTTGACTTAATGAGTCGTTTATGAAAATAAGGTTTCGAGAGTTTATGCAGCTGGCCAATCCACCTCCCTCATAATGACTTCAGCTGATGGCTTTTTGTGATGTTTTGTTATTTCAGGGGCTTTCCCTGCAAAAAAAAGTAAATTACAAACCAGAATTCCAGCTGGTGGTGACACCAGCAGAAGATGCAGCTTGAACTGTGAGTCGGTCTGGTTCTTCTCAGTTTAGATGGATTTAATGATCTGAACTACCGTATTTTCCACTGTGCACGTCACACCGCCGTATACATCGCATCAGTGCAAAAATGTCTAATAAAGTGGAAAAAACATAAATGCGTCGCATCTATTACGCGTCACCGCTGACAACCTGGAAACGTGGGCCGGAGTTGTGCCAGAAATCTATTGGCTGCCAAATGGCGGCTGCGGGAGCGTGCACGGGATGACTTTAACAGTAATTTAACAAGATTAACACTTAAAAACAATATTTGTTTGCTCAAAATTATAGTAAAGATGTGTCTTCGTTTGACTTTTCCTTAATAAATGCACTTTGACGGTCAAATCAGCTGCATTTCACAAGCCGATTCGCGGCCGCTGGAGCGTGCACGGGAGGACTCGCTGTGCATTTCTTCGAAATTTAACAAGATAGCCACCTAAACACAATAATTTGTTTGCTCGACGTTATAGCAAAGGTGCGTCTCAGTTGAACTTTTATTTAATAAACGCACTTCACTGGTCAAATTAGCTGCATTTCACCGAGGTGGTGCAGCGAAAAGAAGCTGATTTTACTGTTGCTCCAGGCGAACTGGACAAAGGTGGCAGCCTATGGCAAGCCAATTGTATCATTAATAGCCACTTTTACCTATTACATGACACGACATGCCATTCTAATCAACTGCCATCTAGCGGCTGAAAATGGTAGTGTTCAATATTTTCAGTCTGAATGAATGAAAACGGTCATATCTCCGCCAAAAATTGGTTTATAAATATGCAAAAAATCCATAAAGACGTTGTTTCGGTGTATAAGTCACAGGGCATGCAAATTATGCAAAAACCCTGCAACTTATAGGCCAAAAAATACGGTACTCAGACTCCACAAGTCAAAGAAGCCGAGGCAGATGAGCAGTGAAACGGCTGGACGCTCCTCTGATCTCTTGTTTGTGTCCGCTTAAATGTCTCATGACCCGCTGAACAGATTTCTATCAAAAATCCCAGAAAATAATCGTTTGTGCATAACTGTTGGAGTCGACCTGATTCGAGGTAAATGAAAGGCAGCAGGTGACGTGCGTCCCTTCAGGAAGTGCTCGGCTCTTAATTTCTATTTTGACCACAAACATTCCCAAACCTCCGACCATCTTCCAGGATAAACGATGGGAGTATTTTTATGCTGAGTCGTGAAAGAATGTTGTTTTTTCTCCAACCTCCTGTCGACCCGGAGAGTAAATCTGCCAGTCACTCGGGTTGAAGTCCTCTGGGGCCCCGGGGCCCGCAATTAGACTTCCTTATCTCCCAGTCGGGGGAGGCTAATGATACACTGGGAATGTTGTGCTTCTGTGCATCTTTAAAGCCCTGAACCACCTTCAGTGAAGTCGGGCTTTAATCTTCAGTCAGGATCTGGCTAGTTCACAACAAACATGATGTCACCCAGCCCATGGGGTGTGTGTGTGTGTGTGTGTGTGTTCAGAGGTCCTTGTGAGGGGAGCCATTATTCACAGTAAACACAGATGTTCATATTTTCTCTCAACAAGACAATAATTGCTCACACTCGGATGAAAATGGCTTTCATCTGTAGAAAATCACCCGTCTTCCATCATCGCTCATTTAGGAACAGAATTTTTTATTTTACTGCTTCACCTTCTTCTCTGCCGGCTCCTCGTGTTACCAGTTAGCGAAATATCTCATGAGCCACAGATTACAATGAAACTTTCAGCAGGTGATCTTTGGATAAACCGCTGTTCAACTTCGAAGCCTTAAAACTTCCGTCAGGAAGAAGCTGGCTGCTTCAAAATTACAGGGCGTCTTTAAGCATCTCATGCGGAGGTGCTGCCGGAGGTTCAGGCTTGTACGTGCACAACTTGCAGGTACAGCGGTCACGGACATTTTCAATGTTAAGTCAATGGGGGCGCGAGTCGCTCACTCCATGGCCTTTTGTGACTTGTATGAAAACATGACGACTCATTCACCTTTTGGAGTTCAAACCACCGAGATGAGATTTGGTGTGGTAGTTGTTGAGAGTCGTCCCTAAAACATAATCTGAGCGCTAACTGATCTATTGTCAAAATGCCTCATCAACCACGGAATGAATTTTAATGAAACTCTTAATCGCTAGTTTTACATCTTCAACTGATTAACGATTGAAGTCAGTCCAATTCAAGATGGCCACCACAGCTAATCAACCTTGGCTAACAGAAAATAATAAATAATGCAGACAGTTTTATGGAAACCGAGTTAAAATTTAGCGTGAAGGTAGCTGAGAGTCATTTGAAACCTGTTTCAAGCGCTAACAGATCAAGTGAAAATCGCAGCATTTCAATCGAGACGTGTCTTTTTGTCTTTAATGACGCGGATCGGTGCAACTTGTCTCATATTTGGGATTAGAGTTCAACGTGCAGGCGCCTCCGCACCTTTTCAGAAACCGATCCGGGGCCTGAACAAAAGAACAAAGTTAGGGGTAACAGAGCTGCACAGTTTGTCTGTTTTTGTTCGTTTCCTGCCCAGCGGCTCCACGACGATCCACCTGACATTTTCATGCGCTCAATTTTCCACCTGCTCTTCCCAAACCACCGTCTTTTTCAGCCCCATCATGCCTCTGGTTTTCTTCTTCCATTCTCAGACCTCGTTAGAACATTGTCTCCTCTTTAATTGCTGCCAGCGTCTGACTCCGTCCACAAACATTATCGATCGTGGCTGGAGCCCAGGCTGTTGCGTTGTTCTCGGCTCTTCCGGTAAGGTTTCACCGTGAGACCAGTGAAACGTTTCCCAGCACTTTTATTGCAACATGGAAGTCGGTCATTGATCGTTTTGGTTTGAACAATTCCAGCATCTCCTCGAGGTCTGACGTGGAGCTGCGGGTCTTAACTCAAACACAGATGTTTCTGGATGTGTGTGTCTTTATCACCTGCTGCTGAGGGCAAAACACTCATGTTTGTAGTGTTAGCAAAATATCACTGCAGCCACAGATTCAGTGGAAGCCACTGAGTGCAGTCACCATGAAGAGTTTACAGAAGGCGGATATTTTAATGAAGGATTCAGAAGTTTTAGTTGTTTTTGGTTCTCCTGAAACTTTAGACTATGAAAAATGTTGGATTGTGTACCTGGATTATTGAGCATGGACTTTGTTGTTTAGACCAGGGGTGTCCAAAGTGCGGCACGAGGGCCATTTGTGGCCCTTTGAGTGATTTTGTAAGTCCCACAACTGCAATTTAAGAATGGTGTAATTTTAGCTCACGGGCCTTGACATTGATGCTGCTGTAGACCTTCTGCAAATTTAATGTTGATACTTTTTATATATTAAAAACATTAAAATATATTTTTTAAAAAGAGCAATTACAACTACCATACAAACTTTTGGCTATAATACACTTTTTGTTCCATTTCATGGTTCAAAGCACCACAAAGCTTTACTGACTTCTATCAGAAAGTTGACTTTTGGAGCATCATTCATAAAACTTGCTTAAATAAAGTGTTAAAGTGGCATAATCAACATACAAGTCAATTTATTTTATTCGTGTCTCTTCAAACCTTCTCTGAATCTGTTTGAGCGACTGCCAGCTGTGCAATTA